ATTCTTGATATTGGGTAAGCCAATACTGTAAGAGATGGTAAAGTTTGTTCCCATAGGCTTTTTAAATATTTTCCTCTAAATCTGTGTTATTTTATTCATTTTTCTTATACAAACAAAAATTATTATGATTCATTTAGATTAATTACTTTTTAAACAATTACCTTAATTTTTTTAAGGTACTGGTAAACTGGAGAAGAACAATTCATCCATCAACACAAAGATCCTGAAAGGTACATAATAATTTTCAAAGTTCTGATATTAGCAAAGTTTATATTTGTCTCTATCTTAGGCTAGGCAATAATAATAATAGACTCTTTGGGGAGAACATAAATTATTAAATAAGAAAAACATGTCCATAAATAATTATTATAAGAGTGTGTTCCTTCTTCTGCAACATTATGAAAAAACTTCAATTTTAAATTGTGACATCAATTGTTGCGGTTTGGCTTAAATTTCCTACTGCTATAATATAATAAGAGACAAGTGATTTTACTATTCTTTAAAAGTAGTTTCAGCCGAAACCGGTTTGGCTCAGTGGATAGAGCATCGGCCTGCGGACTGAGGAGTCCCAGGTTCGATTCCGGTCAAGGGCATGTACCTGGGTTGCGGGCACATCCCCAGTAGGAGATGTGCAGGAGGCAGCTGATCGATGTTTCTCCCTCATTGATGTTTCTAACTCTCTATCTCTCTCCCTTCCTCTCTGTAAAAAATCAATAAAATATTTTAAAAAAAATAAAAGTAGTTTCAGTCATCAGCTTTTAGGACATGTACAGAGTGGATATTTTCGTTTATGTTTTTGCTTTTTATGGGCACAGAAATTAGGGGATATCTGGCAGACCCTTTTCTGTGAGTGTGTTTTGTTTTATATGTACCAGCCAGTGAGGATGCATAGGTATATTATGTACCTAATTGTTTATACCTATGTAAGTGTGTAAGTTATATTTTAAAACTACAAATTGCTATTGGATTATAATTTGTAATCTTCCTTTAGCATATCATTGTGAACATTGTCCACTGGAGTGGTTTACGTATTCCAACAATTGCTATTACATTAGCAGTGAAAATAAAACATGGAATGAGAGTGTGCTGGCCTGTGCTTCTAAGAGCTCTAATCTGCTTTACATAGATAATGAAGAAGAACTGGTAAGATGTTAAACATTTCATATACTTTATTAAAGGCTTATTTCAGCCAATAGTATATTTGTAGAATTCATATTTTTATACATAGTTATAAATATTTAAGGTTTGTATAAAATTCCACTGTTTGATTTTATAATCTATACTAATAAGAGGGTAATATGCTAATTAGATGGGATAGACTGGACATCTTCCAGACGTCATTCCAGACGTTCTTCCTGACAAAGCCTGCGCCCGAGGGAAGCCGCCCAGGGTCCCTGGTGACTGTGGCCAGCCAGAGGAGGGAAGCCTGGGTCCCAGGTGCAGGGGCCAATGGCAGAGGTAGTTAGGGGTGATCAGGCAGGCAGGCGAGTGGTTAGGGGAGATCAGGCAGGCAGGCAGGCAGAATGGTCAGGGGAAATCAGGCAGGCAGGCAGGTTAGTGGTTAAGAGCCAGTAGTCCCGGATTGTGAGAGGGATGTCCAACTGCCGTTTTAGGGGTTGGGCCTAAACCGGCAGTCGGACATCCCCTGAGGGGTCCCAGATTGTGAGAGGGTGCAGGCTGAGCTGAGGGACCCCCCCACCCCCACTGTGTATGAATTTCATGCACTGAGTCTCTAATATTTTATATTTTTATACTACTAATGCACATCTACTAATCTCCAGTCTTACTTTTTATAGAAAACTGTGCTTCTATAAGTGCTTGGTTTCTAAAATAAACTTTGCCATTTAATTTTACCTTATATCAAGGCTATCTACACTAATAAAAGAGAAACATGGTAATTAGCATATGACCGCTACCCTTCCCATTGGCTAATCAGCATATCCTTATGCAAATTAACTGTCAGCCAAGATGGAGGCCAGTAGGCAGGCAGCTGGAAGCGAACATGAGGCTTGCTTGCTCCAGGGACTGCAGACTCCAACGTTCCCCACCTAACTTGCCGGCCTCTCAGCTGCAACTCTAAGCAACTATTACTATGTTGCATATAAGAAGCTAAACAAAACCCCAGAAACCGGCTGTCAGTCAGCCCCAGACCGCAATATTGTATTGATGTTTTCAGCAGCAAGGCCTCAGAGCTAAAGCTGGCCCAGAATAAAAAAAAGAAAGAAAGAAAACAAGGAGAGGTTGGGAGCTTTTAGTCACCTGCCAGCCCGAAAACAGCCCTCAGCCCCTCAGCCAGCCTGGCCAGGCACCCCAGTGGGGACCCCCACCCTGATCCAGGACACCCTTCAGGGAAAACCAGCCAGTCCCCACCCATGCATTTGGCCTCTATGCTATATAGTAAAAGGGTAATATGCCTGCCGGCACCGGGATCAGCGGAGCAGCAAGACTCCTGGCACCGGAATAAGCGTGACAGGGGCAGCGCCAAAACCCTGATCGCCTGCAGCTCTGTGTGTGACAGGGAAG